GTCCAAAACGAGCCTCCCCTGGTTCCACTTTCGGTGCCAAACGCTGCTTCTGGATCCTTATATAGAACAAAGATAGTGCTATTTTTCTCGCGCATCTCGGCCCCGAACCCCTGCTCACGCAAACAGCTTTTTCTCATCTTCTAGATCCCCGAACACCTGACCCCGCCACAGCTTTTCCCAATCTAATTCTGGTCCACAACGAGCCTCCCTGGTCGCACTTTCGGTGCCAAATGCTGCTTCTGGATCCTTATATGGAACAAAGATAGTACCTGGCCCTGCCACGAACACCTGGTCACGAGCCTCCCCTGGTCGCACTTTCGGTGCCCAACGCTGCTTCTGGATCCTTATATAGAACAAAGCTAGTACTATTTTTCTCGCGCATCTTGGCCCCGAACCCCTGGTTCGTGCTGAGACGAAGGAGCGCAATAGGTTGCGGTTCCAGTGATGCGTGTGTTCGAGCAGCATGGAGCAGTGGAAGCGTCTGTTGCCTGCAGGTTCGTGCTGAGACGAAGAAGCGCAAGGCTCCCGCACCTGTAATCCCTCGCGCGCTCCCCCTCCTTCAGCCGGGGTCGGCGGATATTACACTTTTCCCCTGAGGTTTCAAGTGTCAAAGTCACCCCAACCATCCTAAACCTCAGTACTCAGCATCACGGCGAACACCCATGATTTGTGTTGGCGCTTAACATGCGATGCATCCATGGATGTCAGGAGATGGCGGGGCACGCAAATTTGCCTGCGGATCTGCGGCTGGCAAGTCAGAATGGCAGAATCTGCATCTCGCAGGTCTGGTTTAGTAGGGTGTAGTGGAGGGGGCTTTGCTGTAGGCAAGCGGTCATGTTTTTCCAGCACAGATCCTCCTTCTGCTATGTGACCCGTAACACACCACCTGTATAGCAGACTGGCCAGGTTTTGAAATGGAGTTACCATTTGCGTGACTTGTGCAAGTTGAGGCATTGTTGGCTCCAAATCCGCCGACGTGAGCATCAATCCCCGTGCATTGATGTCAGAGCCCCAGCTCTAGACCATTAGATTGGGGCCGGAGCCTTTTTTTGGCGAACATCCTTGGCTGGGCCAGCCTGTTGTTGCTGCTGTTGTTGTTGTCGTTGTCCTTGGCTGTTTGTCTTGCATGTTGCAACTCGTCGAAAGAGAAGCTGAGCTTCAGAGTCTTGTTTGCACAGGCCAAAGCAGATAGACGTTCGCGGAGTGTTCTTGGGTTCTGCCTCTGCAGAAGAGCTCAAGGACAGCTTGCAACAGTACAACATTCCACAAAGTTGAAAACTCACGTGCAAGGCAAAGCTGTAAAGCCACCAAGTGTTGCAGGAGAGTAACGTTGCGTAGTGCTGACAAGTGAGATGACACGCAATAAACCCAGGTTGACAGCTCCGCTGTCAAGTTCACCAGAAAGGGTAGTCGGGTAGTCTATCTAGAGCAACTCTTTGAGCCAACGTTGTGAACTTGCAACTTTGGGATGGGGTCCCTGGGACTATGCCGCAGGAGGTTCATGCGGCGCTTTTTGATGCCATGAACCGACGTGCTTTAGCTCCTTGGCTGTTTGCATCAGTGAGAAGTGGATCAGATTTGAAGATTGCTGAGTTGGCTAGTGTTGGCTTGTTTCTTGTGGGCGGGGGTACAATGCCGCTCGCAGCTCGAGGTGCCTGTGGTGAGCTTGCAAATACCGCTGGCCGAAGCCGCCAAAGCGCATGTTGAGGCGTGGTCGCTGAATGCTTGGCCATGGTTTCCAAGTCAGAAAATCAGCAAAGTGCATGGCAAGACAGGACATGAGGGCATCACAAGATTACCGGAGGGCTATGAATGATTTGGGGAGGACATGGGGGGGGCTGTGGGCAGGTGATGGAGCCCTCAGCTGGTGGTGCCAGTGGCAATGTTGTTCTTTTGCCTGGAGCAGACTGCAGCCTTTGAGCCAAGTTCTTTCCGACGTGTGATCTTCCAACACGTTTGCTTGCTCCGGTCACTGTGCGTCATTTCCCTTTGATTTAGCCCTGACTCTCACTGTGTGTGGATTGTGGCATACCTCTTTGCCTCGCCCTTCAACATGAAGGGCAGTCACAGGCTCAAACTTTAGATTTGTTTCCCTGGAGTCTTAGTAGACATTTATATATTCGTCCGCAGAACTCGTTCAGAAACTCCAAAGTGAAGCTTGCTGGTTCCGACTTGGTTCCTCCAAGAATTGCTGCTTTGATGATTTGCAAGCATGCGGGATGTGGGACTACAAAAAAAAGGATGATTATGTGGGCGTGATGTTCATGGATACAGTTTGAAGCAGCCATTTTTGTCCAAGCCCTCTTGGTGGATCCCAGTGAAGAAACGATGAATCTGGGTTGCAGTGACTTTAAGTTCCAGGGAGACAGTCCAGCACCATATTGTTGATTCATGCCATGCTTTCAAGCAAAGTATCATGGCCTCCCATCCCCTCCTTCTTTTGTATTGCTTGATATTGAACAATCCATGCAGTCCATCCAAGCTTCCTAGAGTGTTCAAGCTTGAATTTGATTTGGTTCAGGAAGCCCGTTGTCAAATCCCTGTGCTGGCTGCGCCTGAGCTTGAGGGTTGAGGGGGGCGGGGGCGTATTCCCAGGATCAGGGCCCCAAACTAAAACCCCAAACTGACAGATGAGGTTACATGTTGCAGAGTTCCAGGGTAGACCAATAGAAAGCCAGCATGCATGCGTTTAGAGTTTAGCCTCGTTGTTTATGTGCATAATATACAGACTTGGCCATTCTCTCTGTCGGCTGGTCTAGACCAGAGGCATTTGGTGACTGCCACGCCCAACCCACGTCAGGCAGGGACATTGGGTGTGAAGATTGATGGGTGCAGATAGCTCTAGCGATGCACGGGGGTGCCCTTTGAGAAAGGTTTGGCAAGACTGTCAGAATCGTTGAGATGGCAAACTAGTGATGTTCTGACCTTGGTGCACGAGAGCTCATTCTGACCTTGCTTGGACAGCATACTGACATTCCTGTCTGGTGATCACTGTGATCACCACCAATAACACTTCCGCCAGACTGGTGCTCCTTTTGGCAACGCGTCAACGTTGGAGGAGCCCAAGAAGCTGAAAGCCCTGGAGTCCTCTGAAGGTTGGCAATGACTTGGGTGTAAACCGTGTACAGGTACATCAGGTGGCTGATGTCACCGTGGCGTGGGTAGCCGATTGCATCTCTGAGTTCTCCTCTTTCCAATCGTGAGGAACCGATTCATGTTGTAGGAAAGGGGATTGGTGATGCGCCAGCATCATGATAGGACGCTTAACACTTCTGGCTGTAGTTAGGTAGTATTAGTATAATGGTCGGGTTTGTTCCCGTGCAGGCGGGTCCTTTGAGGGCAAAAGCGGCAGGAGGCGCCGTCGCCATGGCCACGGTGCTCCTGGTGGCCCTGCTGTCTATGGTGGCCCTGACGGCCCTGGCCCTGGCCCTGACGCTTGGTTTTGCTGGGCAGAGTTTTCGTCTGTTAATTTCATTTTCTTTTAAGCTGATGCTGAAAATGAAGACAGGTCCCAAGTGCATTGTCTCAGTGGTTTGTTTGAGGGGAACCGACCAAGAGTTGTTAACATATGAGGCCCATGGAGGAGAGGGGATAGCCGGTGGCAAAGGACATGCTGGAGGTCCAACCAAGGGCAAAGGGAATGGCAAAGGAAGTGCATTCTTGGAGAAACGTGCCTTGGCGGAAGATACATGTTCAATACGTTCAATGGCTGTGGATGTACACGACCAGGGTGAGAATCGCTATGTTCACATGTAGAGACAATTGTCCGTTGTACCAAAAGGCAGTTTGTGTGACCGCTGATCACAACAGGTTTGACTCGTGTAGCGGAGCCGGTAACCCAGCAAGTTGATGTCATGGGATACTGTGCGATCCCGGAACTCCCCTCACCAAACTCACGATGTTTGCGGCCTTCGGTACGGAGGCCAGAGCCAGGCCTCCTTCAGGCTTCCAGAAGCAGATGTAGCCTGATCTGTAATGGAGCCGGAGGTGAGAGCAGTTATATAAGCCTGTCTTCTAACGGCTCATCCTCATTCCCGCGAAGGCTCCACAACTAGGCGCAGATCAGCTGGAGAACCTACATCAGCTGAATCTGTGAATTTGAGTGGCTGTGCTTCACTGGAACACTCAGCTTCCACCATCCCTTCCTGCATTGCAGGCTGGACACTGAGGGGCATATAGGCTAGGAGGTGATAAGGTGACGGGGATCCACACCTCGACAAGAAGGAATCCAGAGAGTCACAGAGTGCTGACCTAACAGTTTCCGAGTCAGACACGTAAACTCTGAAATCAGGGATGAAGGAGCCACTGCCCCTTTCACAGTTGAGAAGACAATGAGTGTGAGTATGACCCTGGCCAACGAACGGTAAGTTCACCTTGTATGTGCAGATGGAGCTCCCACAGCCTTTGAACTTACGTAGGTGGAAAAGGACATACAAGGACGGTTTACATGACAGCTGATCACAGCAAGGTTCATCATAGCTGAGAACTGAAGACTCGTTTGTTTCGGGAAGTGTAGAGTAGAGTTCTTAAAGCGCTGCTGCCGCAATAGAATTCACGAGGGCCATCCCTCAACTTCCTGAACAATGGTCAGGTCTCTTACACTTTGTCACGGAAGTGCAAGAGCAACAACCACACACAACATTTTGTAGACTTTGTAGACATTGCGTTGCGCTGGCAGGGTGCAGCCGTGCAACACCAAGGCAGCTACGACGGGCCCAAAGTGAACATGGATGAACAACCTTTTGGCAACGCGTCAACGTTGGAGGAGCCCAAGAAGCTGAAAGCCCTGGAGTCCTCTGAAGGTTGGCAATGACTTGGGTGTAAACCGTGTACAGGTACATCAGGTGGCTGATGTCACCGTGGCGTGGGTAGCCGATTGCATCTCTGAGTTCTCCTCTTTCCAATCGTGAGGAACCGATTCATGTTGTAGGAAAGGGGATTGGTGATGCGCCAGCATCATGATAGGACGCTCAACACTTCTGGCTGTAGTTAGGTAGTATTAGTATAATGGTCGGGTTTGTTCCCGTGCAGGCGGGTCCTTTGAGGGCAAAAGCGGCAGGAGGCGCCGTCGCCATGGCCACGGTGCTCCTGGTGGCCCTGCTGTCTATGGTGGCCCTGACGGCCCTGGCCCTGGCCCTGACGCTTGGTTTTGCTGGGCAGAGTTTTCGTCTGTTAATTTCATTTTAAGCTGATGCTGAAAATGAAGACAGGTCCCAAGTGCATTGTCTCAGTGGTTTGTTTGAGGGGAACCGACCAAGAGTTGTTAACATATGAGGCCCATGGAGGAGAGGGGATAGCCGGTGGCAAAGGACATGCTGGAGGTCCAACCAAGGGCAAAGGGAAGGGCAAAGGAAGTGCATTCTTGGAGAAACGTGCCTTGGCGGAAGATACATGTTCAATACGTTCATTTGCCGTGACCCAAAGGCTAAAGAGAATGTGTTTGTTTTGGCAACTGCAAGTGGAACGACTCTCAACATTGAGTCCCTGTTTCACTCAAGTACAAGAAAGATCAAGAAAGTTGCCATTCTGCACGTGCTGGGACGGTGCTGTGCAACACCAAGGCAGCTATGACAGGGCTGAAGTGAACACGACGATGATGGATCAACAACCTTGAAGATCGTAGGACTGGGGGATTCAGCGGGGATTCAGCGGTGCATTACACCGGGCTGTGACGTGCTGTGGTTTTAGGAGTAATGTCATTCTGTGCGTCCCTATCATGATCAAATCAATCAGTATTCGGACTTCCATGTTGAATCTCAATATCAGAAGAAAGACCAGGCCCCAGGATCAATGACACCTTTTTATCTAACTCTGAAGTCTTCAGTGCAGGAATCCCAGAGGGAATTGTACAGAGCATGTCTGGTCGTGCTTGGCGACGAGTTGCACCACTAAAGGTGGCAGCTTACTTGGCTGTGGAGGTGCCAGTTGCGTGTGCATCCTGGGCGCGTATGCCTCCAAAGCTGGACATCCCATCTACCAACAGGGTGGAAAAATGTGTGCTGAGTGAGGGAGTGGTGACTCAGTGACTGTTGTTGATGTGTTGAGCCAGAGCGCAGGCATGTGGGCCTTACGGTATGTCATGGACAAGAATGGGCTGGTTATCAGGCTTCTAACTGCCCCCCCGCAGGCTGTCACCTGAGGGTCGTGGCACGGAAATTGCGGGGACGCCTCCCTTCATGTCGCCAGAGGCTGGGTTTGAAATGGTTTTAGAAAGTATGTATGACCAAGAGATTAGAAAGTACCTTTTCAGATGCTCTAAAAGTACCAAGTGCGAAGCGAAAAACTCCTCGAGCTGGAGGTTTGGGCGGGCAACTTCAGCCAAAGCTGCGACATTTGGCCACGGCCTCGTGCTTGTCATTTGCCTCGTTGAAGCAATGATCGTTTCATGTGCTTTGGGGTAGGACTCTATTTGTACCACAGTCCGGGGATTCCTCAAGATTCCTAGTAAGTCAAGTGACCAATCTTATCCTTCAAGTGACGCAGTGAGGTCCTGTGGCGTGATGCTTTTCTTCATGCTCTCGGGGACCTATCCGTTCATGGCAAAGCGAATTGAGGACGGCAGAGCCTGGCAGCACTCCATGATTCAACCAATTTTTGGAGATGGAGTTCCACAATTTTTGGAGAGATCATTGAGACACCGCGCTGGCGCATGAGCTAGCTGCCCGCGTTTGGATGTCCACATGTTCTTTGTCACAGGTGCGAAGATGTCCGCCACAAATGCATGTTCAATATTATGTTCAACCATGTTCAAGGGTTCATGCAGATGTTCTTCATGCAGTCAAGCACTTTTTGGAGTTCTGAGTTCTTCTCATCGTCGACCAACTCTGTGAGGAATTCCCTGCTGCTGTGGCGAAGGAGTGCGATAGCTCAGGGTTTCGGCTCAAACATGCATGACCAATTTCTTCAGCCACGGCGGTTGCCGCTCCTTCTCTTCGTTTGTACTTGCGGCAAAATGACGAAGCAAACACGTTCTGTTCATTCAGCAGAGTTATATAGATGTTGAATTGGGATGAATTGGGAGTGCTTCTGAAATCCAGAAGCCGCGCTCACAAAACCTGCAACTTAGGCCCGACTGGTCTCGCATTGGTGGAGCCAGCAGCGAGGCACATCAGGATGTGTTCACCACTTTGCAGAGGTCAGTAGCTAGGGCTGATCCAGATGATCATGACGAAAACCTGGTTGCGCAGACTTCATGGACTGGGCCAGGGGTATTGCACGCTGAACACAGGCGCAGTACATTTGCTTCGATATGCTGCGTTGAGTCCTCAAGCGGATCGGAAGCTGGAGCCGGGGTGATCCACACTGACTGGTTGTCAAAGGTCGGACTTGTTTGTTCAGTTATATATATATACACACTGCCGAATCGATATCTACATCACGTCTGGAAAACATCTGAAAGGCTACGTCAACTTGCAAGTAGGGCCTTTTAAGAACCCTCGCGTTTGATCTAGGGGAGATGTTCCACGATTTTACTATCTTTGGCACAGAGCGGAGCTTCGTCTCCAGCCGTTCTTGTTTCTGAGGCAAAGGTGAGGCAGATCGGTCGCAGCCTCAGCAACAACCTGGTGTGGAAAGGGGTGCATGCAGTTTTGATTTCAGGAAGTCTAGTTTAAGTTTAAGCGGGAAAAGGCGAGAAGCTACAGTGCTGCTGCAGGAAATAGGAGGTTAATGCCGCATGTTTGATTCCTTCAATCTTGAGGGGTACTGATCAAAGTTCTGAGGCCGACTGCGCAAGAGCTGCTCTCCAATGCATGGTGGGGATGGCTCTGGGGGAGTGTGCAATATCATTGAACAGCCTGAATCAACCATATCGCTAATGTGGATCAATGAGGGCGCTGGGAGGTTTGTTTCGGTTTCTTGTTGACACGAGGCAGTTGCATCATGCTTGGACATGCATTCCGTAAGCCAGAACTTTTTGAACCATACATGATAGGGCAAGGGCCTTGGACGCTAGTAGGTTGGAGGCCATCGCTAGTAGGCCATCGCTCTTAGGCCGTAAGCCAAGCTTATATAAAGTGAATTATATGGGTCAGTGCATTTGCTGAAACGTTGATCAGAGCCTGTCACTGCGAGGTTCCGCCGCTTTGGCCTAGGCGCGGAACTCGGAGCAAGCAATGCAAATGAGCACATGCAAAAAGACATGCACGGGCAGGTCAGATCAGAACTCCCAAGCCGCTTTGAGGAACCACTCTATTTTGAGTTATTTTGCTTTGGCCACTTTGACTGTTTCAGTTCATCCGGTTTGTGATCTGGCGAGCATCTACTGGTTTTGGCCGTGAGTTCACAAGCAAATTCAGCTCGCAACTGGCTCGCACGCCAAGGCCTCTTAGAGTCTTAGAAAAAACTGCCTTCTCCGGATTGTCACTTCAGCCGTCTGAGAAGGGCCCAAATCGGCCAAAACACGTTCTTGCTTTCCAGGTGCGAGCAGCTCGGACCTCCAGAAGCTGGGCCGAGGCTTGTTGCAGGCTCGGTAGGAAAGTTGCAGAGACCGCAAAAGCTATAAAACGTTTGGCCTATCAGTATCAGGTTGTGAGGTGTCAACAGCAAGAACAGCATTATGAACATGCCCTTTGTGCTTTGGTCTAGAATGCCTTGTTGTAGAAATCATGCCACCTAATTCAACAACTCGTAGCATATGCAAACAGCTGGCCATTTCAATGTTCTGAATGGGGGCAACAAGCTGCATCAGAGTCATGCATGCTGAACAGTTCTGCTGCTGGGAATTCCGTTTGATTGTATTCTTTGTGTTTCTGACAGCGTATCAAGAATGATCAGAAACACTCATCATTTCATTTCAGAGTGGCCAGACTTTTGAGGGGGCCTCTGGTGCCGTGGTATGTTGCAGAAGTCACCCCGAGGCGATTTGCACTTAGGGGAGGTCGATCACATTTGATCACCGGGCAAATGACGGGGGATTGATCCAATTACTCCATTCCAGCTGAACCAGACTCTTCAGGTGAAAGAACGCAGCTCCTTTGAGCGCTTCGTGGCGAGGGGGAATTTGTTGGGAGCCATCGGGTCCTGGGGATGGAGGTAGGAGAGAGACATTTGAGCAGCAGGGTCTTCAACCTAATAGCGATGGTCACCCTAGTAGTGATGGCCTCCAACCTAGCATACTTTGACCTTGCCTTTGCCGTTGAAGAACGTTGTCAGACGCCAGAATTTCCCGCAGCGGAACAGTGCTGAAACAGAGTATATAACATATATAAATATATTATATATGTATATATTATGGTACCCCCCCAAGATTATCTACCGGTTGCATGTGTGTTTGATACCTTGGTGTCAGATGTGCGGGGGTTACCATGTATATATATGCATAGATTGGAGACAACAATTCTTGTACAAAACAAACTGTGTGTAACAATACACCAACAAGTTTTTTCTTTTTTACATACGACCTGGATTCAAGATTCAAGATGAATCGAATTTGTTTTCCAGCCATCTTGAATCTTGAATATGTTTTTTTCTTTAAGAATTGTTTGTTTTTTTTAAGAAAAACTTAGGCACCGGATACGGGTTTGTCTATCGGAAGGGGGCACCATGCGGGGTGGAGTGGTGACAATCGTATAAATGCGCAGTTTGCTGTAAAATCTACGCAGTTTGTTTGCAAATCACTGTCTAACCAGGTCTGAATGCACCAGAACCAATGCCACCAAGAATAGAGACAACAAACAAAACAAAACGCCTTCAAAGAACAAACAAAAACAATATTCTGAGACTCTTGGCGCCCCCCCTTCCCCAAAACTCCAGGAAATTTTGCTTTCTTTTTGAAGGTTTTTCCATGTTTTCCATGACTCTGGGCCCCCCTTCCTCAAGACTCCTGGAAAGTTGTTTTCGCTGTTTGGACTTTTTTGGTGTCAGGCTGGGCACGCAGAGACCTGCACTCCATGCAAAGCTCTAGCCCAACTTTGGGAAGTCTGCATTTTAAGTCTATTTATTCCTATTGATATCCTTTTACATTCCGTTTGATTCTTGTTGATTACCTTTCTTTGTGATTTCAAATTGACTCTGACTTCCTGCTGCATTTCCTTTTAAATTCTTTTGATTCTTGGGCTTGGAATCACTACCTTTTAAATTCTACTTCATGTGAGCTCCTTTTGATTCCCATTGATTTCCTTTTGAACTCCTTTTGATTCCTTTTCATTTCCTTTCAAATATATTTTGCTTCCTATTGATTTCGCTTGAATTTCTTTGTTGCATAGCAAAAATCTATTTCACCAAGGAGATAACCCAGTGCACTAGAAATTTTGAATAATATATTTAACCCCCTGCTAAATTGCAGTCGTTTTTGGCCTTAATAACAGAACCGCCTGGAATAATGCCCGTGCTTTTCCATTTCTAAATAACGTGACGACCTCAACTATTGTGTGCACTTTTGCTCTAATATGATTTGAACAAAAAAAAACATCACCTGCAATACTGTCAACGTCTTTCATTGTTCATTATTACTATTCTTTCATTTTCATGTTCTGTTTCATTTGCTCACTTGGATCTATAGATCTTGGTCCACAACCATTTGCATATCTCAAAAGAACCAACAAGGTAGATCTTGGAGGGGGAGTAGCACACACACATATCTATATATACACTGTATACATATAATATAACATA